CTTTCTCAATGGATGCGGTCTGCTTCGTTGTATCCGTTTATATAGCAGTAGCCGGCTTGCTGTTTCCCGGCAAAAAAAATAGATGCTTACAGAAATGTGCTAACAATGTAAGCCTAATTAGCTACATAAGAGCACAAATGAAAAACATTACTCTATGTTATATTCTACAACATAGTATATTGTAATTCTTTTTATTGTTACTATAGTAACACCCGCCTAAGCAGGTTCAAATATAACTGCCGTTTTCATTTGGCACGACTAAGCACAAGAGGATAGTATATTGTAATTCTTTTTATTATTACTATAGCAACACCCGCCTAAGCAGGTTCAAATATAACTGCCGTTTTCATTTAGCACGACTAAGCACAAGAGGATAGTAAAATTAATTAAAAAAAATTACTTTAGCAAAATTTATTATATAAAATAAGATAAATTGTATCTTTTAATTCTCATATAGGTAATTACTATATTATAACTAGGATCAATATTTTGACCTTGAAAATTTATTCTTGAAGCAGTCTTGATGTTTTAAACCTTAATACTTGTACTGCCTCTATAGATTATATATCATAAAAATTATATTTACTCTATATAGAGCATTTATAAACATGTTAAATAGAAGGGGTCCCAGAACAGACCCCTGAGGGACACCACTTGCCACCTCTGTCCAGCTTGAAAATTTACCATTAATGACAACTCTTTGTACTCTGTTTTTAAGCCAATGTTCTACCCAAGAACAAGCATTTTCATCTAGACCGATTTCCTTGAGTTTGAACACTAATCTATTGTGTGGAACTGTATCAAATGCCTTGGCAAAATCCAAATAGATCACATCCACGGCAACACCCTGATCTATACTTCTACTTACTTCTTCGTAGAACGCAATCAAGTTAGTTTGACATGACCTGTGCTTCATAAAACATGACCTGTGCTTCATAAAAGCATTCATTCCCTTTCACTCCCTTCCTACTACTGTCCTATGAGTATTTGCACGTAAGCACTTCTTTTCAAATAGTGTTTATTGAAAATCTTTTGCAAAGTTTACAACAAATTATAATAACAGTATAATGAGGGTAGGGGAAGGAAGGGAAAAACTTGGAAGTGGGAAAGGGGGAATATCCATCCATTATCACAATAAGTACATTAAAGGACCACTATAGTGCCAGGAAAACATACTCGTTTTCCTGGCACTATAGTGCCCTGAGGGTGCCCCCACCCTCAGGGTCCCCCTCCCGCCCGGCTCTGGAAGGGGGAAAGGGGTTAAATCTTACCTTTTTCCAGCGCTGGGCGGGGAGCTCTCCTCCTCCGATCCTCCTCTCCTCCTCTCCTCCTCCCCATCGGCTGAATGCGCACGGGCGGCAAGAGCTGCGCGCGCATTCAGCCGATCGCATAGGAAAGCATTCATAATGCTTTCCTATGGACGCTGGAGTGCTCTCACTGTGAAAATCACAGTGAGAAGCATGCAAGCGCCTCTAGTGGCTGTCAATGAGACAGCCACTAGAGGATTAGGGGGAAGGCTTAACCCATTCACAAACATAGCAGTTTCTCTGAAACTGCTATGTTTATGAAAGAATGGGTTAACCCTAGCTGGACCAGGCACCCAGACCACTTCATTAAGCTGAAATGGTCTGGGTGCCTAGAGTGGTCCTTTAATGTGTACGGTATTCAAATTGAATAACACTCTATAGCAAGTCATTACAAAGTATACTTTTTTTAACATCGGTTTCCCATCGATCCCAGTGATATTTTAATTGTGCACATATGTGTGAGTTGCTTCTGTAAGATAATTTGTATGATTTATTTTCTAGTGTCATCTGTAGTACTTCTGTAATTGAGGGTGTGTGTTTAGTTTTCCAGTATCTAGGCAAGCATGTAGTAGCAGCTATCAGAACGTGGCCTACTAATATTCTATTAATTCTGTTGACGGATTCAGGAAATTTTTTGAATAAAGCTAATTCGGATGTGAAGCTATCTATGTTACTGTCCACCTTGATGATCAAGTCGTGTATCATTTTCCATTATTTAGTGAGTCTTGGGCAATACCACCATATGTGGGCCATATTGCCCAAACCTCCGCAGTCTCTCCAACATCTATCACTGTACATATTATTCATATTGTGCAACCTGGACAGAGCTAGATACCATCGATAAAGTATTTTAAAATGGTTTTCATGATGGTTAGAACAAAAAGATAATCCCTTCAATGCTGAAAAAAACTAAACCACTCTTCCAACTCATATTGGGTACCCAGCTCCTTCAGTAATTGTAAATCCAAAGATGGCATGTAATATCTTAGAGATTCAATTGGCATGGCTCTATACAATTTCACTGAGTGGCAATTATTCTTAAACACTATATCCCAGGCTTTAAGTGTGGTTTTAGTTGTCAGGAAAAATTTAGTGGCCCCAGGACCTCGTGCACGGTTTAACCAGGGTAGTTCCTTGAGCTGGAATAGGAGAATGTTGGATTCCTCTATCTCCACCCATCTCAGCCTTAATTTTTGCATAGATTAATTCATAAATATTCTAAGTATTCCCTCCTCCAGTCAAATGGATATAATGATCTTAATTCATCCATTTCAAGTTTGTTCAAGTGCAAAGGGAGGGCCTGGGTCTTAGATACATTCAGCTTATAATATGATACTTCCCCGAACTGAAGCAGGATAGTATTAAGAAATTTCAGGGAGTCTTTTGGGTTTTTGAATGCTAGAATGATGTCGTGTCAAATAATCCTGTTTTGTGGGTGGAGCCCTTGATGTTAATACCTACAATTTCTGGGGTCGTCCTAATTAATTCAGCCAAAGGTTCTATCGCCAAAACAAAAAGAACCGGAGACAAAGGGCAACCCTGACGCGTCCCATTAGATAAAGAAAAGGTCCTCAATTGGAAACCCGAGGCCGATACATGGGCTGTGGGTTAGCTATATAGTGCCTTAATGGCAGTAATAAAAAATGGTGGTATGGTGGTTGAATCTGCTCATTGTATTCCAAAGGTACCCACTGTGTATCCTGTCAAACGCCTTCTCTGCGTCCAATGAAAGGAGCAGAGAAGGAGTTTTTGTTGAGTTGATGTGTTGAATTAAATTAATGAACCTCCTCGTTCCATCAGGTGCCTGTCTGCCCTGAACAAACCCCACTTGATCTTTGTTGATCAACAAAGGTATCAATTTAGCTAATCTATTTGCTAGTATTTTAGAATACATTTTCGAATCATTGTTAATGAGGGATATGGGCCTAAAGTTAGAGCATCTGTCAGGAGTTTTTCCCGGTTTTGGCAATGTGACAATCTGTGCGCACAAAGACTCCCCCGGCATCTTCCCCCCAGACTTAAATAATTTAGACATATGGGGAATTAAAGTTTCCGAAAAGGTCTTGTAGTATAAAATGGTGAATCCATCCGGACCAGGGGCCTTTACAGGTGGCATAAGTTTAATTGCCTTAGCTATCTCTGCATCAGATATATCACACTCTAATTTTTTTAAGTTGTCAGAAGACAGCTGAGGCAATGAAACCCTATCTAAAAATTTATTAATTGTTGCCTCAGACGTCTGGGTGAGATTCGAATCAGATTCCAAATTATAAAGTTCACTATAATACTTTGCAAATTGATCACTAGTTTTAGTAGGATTAAATATTTTTTGTCCCTGGCCATCTATTAAATATGCTATATTTGATTGGGCATTCACATTCCGGAGTTTGGATGCCAGAAGAGCTGAGGCCTTATTGCTTTTTAAATAAAACATTTTCTTAAGGCGTTTCACCATGAGAGTGGTTCGGTCCAAATTAATTTCATGTATTTTGAATTTAACCTATGCTATCATCGCTGACAGAGAGGAAGATGGGCCTAATTTATTTCCATATTCCTTAAATTATTATTGTTTTCCTCTTCAGGTGAGACGCTCTAGAAATGAAGTGGCCTCGCAACACAGCCTTGTGCGCATTGCAAGTCACCTCACCAGGAACCTCATGAGAAGCATTTTCCAAAAATTAGTTGTTCAATACACCCTCCGCTAGCGATCTATTTTCACTGTCATCTAACAAATAGTCACTCAGTTTCCATTGTCTGTTGGGTGAGGTAGAAATTATTTCATCTATATGCAAAATTATGGGAGCATGGTCGGACCAATTGATATCTAAAATATCAGATCTCAAGACGTGTGGGATGAGAAAACCCTGTATCAGAAACCTGTCCAGCCTGGAGTACATATTTTTGGACACTGAATAAAAAGTAAAGTATCTTTCATTCTCATGCGTTAGCCTCTAAGGGTCATACAATCCGCATTCAATCATATATTTCAAACATTTCTCAGCTAGTCTATCACTATCTCTCCTTTGAGGTTGTTCTAAATTTCCCCTTGCATTGTCCAGATCACCATCCATAGCAAAGTTTGTGTCACCACATATCACCAAGGTCCCTTTCAGATTCTCATTCACTATGTCTTCCTAAAAAAAGTTAACTGACCTGTGTTGGGAAAATACACATTTACAATTGTATACAAAACGTTATTAACTTTACCAATCCACAATATGTATCTCCCATCATCATCCGTCATTAACTTTTCTGTGGAGTTGGCCACATTCCTGCTAAAAAAAATGACTCTAGACTTAGTTTTGTAAGTGCAATGGAATTGAGATGGGAAAACCGTGTCATAAATTTGTACTCTTCTCCTTCCTTAAGATTAGTCTCTTGAATACAGACAATTCCCGATTTGTTGGATTTGACTTCTTTGAATAATAATCGCCTCTTGTGAGCAGTGTTCAGGCCCCTCACATTAAATTACATGAATTTAATGACCATGACTCAAATCAGAGTACACGGCCATTTAAAAGAGAGGGTATGGGGGCGAAGCCTGACCGTCAATGGCACCAGATGTGTGAACCCTGCATTTGTACGACCGACACCCAAATCCCTCATACCCCCACACACACAGTCACCCCCCACACTGCATCCTAGTTGGGTTGCTATAAGAAGAAAAGAGATCTGACACACTCCGTCGCCACGATGTTCCAGGCGCCCAAAGACCACCCGCGGCCATATTTGTCGCAGGGCCGCACGGACTCAGGCTCGGAATCTGACGAGGGCGAACGGCATGAGAACCCAAACACCCCACTAACCAAATGGGACCTCCGACAGCTACTACAAGAGGCAACATGTGACATCAAAGCCTACACGGCGGCGGAGCTTGACAAGCACATTACCAACCTTCGTTCCACGACCAAGAACTCTCCCGCTTACATGATAAAATACAACAGCTGGAAGATGGCATAGAAGAGCTCAACAATCATTCCCGCCAGAACAATATAAGGCTGAGAGGCCTGCCAGAGTCAGTCACAGCCGACACCCTGCACCTCACCATACGAAATATGTTTCAAAAAAATGCTCCCAGAGGCCTCCGAAACAGAACTCACGATTGAGCGGGTCCACAGAGCACTATGACCCCCGGCCTTTAACCCGACTGCTCCTCGGGATGTCATCCTGAAGATGCTACACTTCACCACTAAAGAGCAGCTAATGGGACAAGCTAGCGCTCAACTTCCCCAAGTGCAAGACCACACGGTCCAATTCTACCAGGACCTGGCCCCCTCGACCTTACGAAAACGCAGGGAGTTAAAACCACTAACCATGGCCCTCACCCAACAAGGCTGGCGGTATGTCTGGGGGCACCCCTTCAAGCTCACCGCAAAGAAGGAGGATCGCTCCCACACACTATTTCAAGTGGCCAACATGGTGGACTTCGCCGAGGAACTAGGACTCACCATCCAGCCAGGAGACGGCGCAGAAGACACCAGATCTGGATCAGCGCACTCCCAGGGCAATCTCCTGCTACCACCCCACCAACAGACCAGGAAAAGGCAATCTGCAACCACCGAGACCCAAGAACAACCAACGACCTGAACGGAGAGCACCGGGGCCCAATGGACTTAACTTACCCACGGGAGGACTACTCCATCACACTGCCAGGTTGTACCCCCTGAAGGCACAAGGCCTAGCCCTATTTCTCACCTCCTACCCTATACCCCAGGAACAGGCTTACACAAGAGATGGTACAGTCAATGAGGCCGAGTGGGTAGGGGAGGGGATTACCAAGTTATGTTATGAAATGTTCAAATGTTGGGTATGTTGCCCCTAACACGCCTCTCCCCACCCGCTCCCATTACCCACAGCCTACAGGTGCCAGGGCGGAGAACCACAATAGCAGGTACATCTGGGCCAACCCTGCCACATATCCAAAGTCAAAGCCACTAGTACCCACTACTACAGGGCCACAAAGGCCTGCTTCCTAGCGCCCAACCCACCATTCATCCAACACAGCCGCAGGGCACAGCAAAAACCCAGACTACCCGCTCCCAACAAACCACAAGCGGGACAAGGGCACAGCCCCAGCTAAAAATTTACACCCCTGGCAAACCCCTCGAAGGGACAATCCGGGGAAACTACACGAGCCCCGGGGCCCAGCCTCCCCACACAGTGGAGCCAACACCGGTGCATGGCTGGGACACAACAAGGCCAAAGCACATCGCAAGGCCCCAGGTCTAACCGCTCAACTGTTCAACTGGCCAACCCAATCCCACACCCTGGGAGTGAGCCCAAACCCGATATGGGCCGGCCAATGAGAAGTAGCGGGAAAGGGTCGGGACCTTAACGAGCTGTAATACTGTGTTCAAACATTGGTTATGTTACCAACCCAACAAGCATTATGCTAACCACCTCAACCACTCAAAACCAACAGTCAACGAGCTGAGGCCCGCAACCACAGAGCCGCCAAGGCCCACCCCACCAGGCCTGGGTAACCACGCCCCCCTATAGACCAGCAAAACCCAAGGAGACATACTCTGGCCCCTCCCCAGGAAACCCGCACAGGTATCGACAGGCCTAGCCCACACGGCCCCTAACCAACATAACCCCACACTCCACAACCAGGCACCCATTCCGCATACACAACAGAGCTCAACATTGAATTCCAACACATTAAAGTCACCAACCAGCACATTTACAAGGTACCGGACCCCAGATCACACCCTGGCCAACAAACAACCACAAAGCACCCGCCATGGGGTGCTTCAAAACCACTGGCCCAAATCAACATCATCAACCCCCACCTTAATACACAAAGCAACTGGACATAACCCCAGCTCGGGGAGCTAACAAGACCCGCCCCACCCCATAACCCGGGCGCAGCCAACTCAACACCACCACCAGGATCCCCTAACCCACAAACCCCCCCGGCCCCAACAACAAGCAAGGCTGACCGCCACCATCACTCCAAACCCTAGCAGCACAAAACTAAGTCAAGCCACAGCAAGGGCCCACATACAGAAATAGGCCAGAGAACGACCAGACTACACAAGATTGTATATAAAGTATGTACACTTTGCATTAAGTTTAAATGAAAGTTAAAAGTTGTATTTTGCATGTTGACTCAGGACAGGGAGTAGAGTTCCAAAAGCCTTAATGAGAAGAATCCTACTTATGTATAGAACTAATACAACTAAATAGAGCAGGGTCTACATAGAAACATAGAACATAGAATGTGACGGCAGATAAGAACCATTCGGCCCATCTATTCTGCCCAATTTTCTAAATACTTTCATTAGGCCCTAGCCTTATCTTATAGTTAGGATAGTCTTATGCCTATCCCACGCATGCTTAAACTCCTTTACTGTGTTAACCTCTACCACTTCAGCTGGAAGGCTATTCCATGCATCCACTACCCTCTCAGTAAAGTAATACTTCCTGATATTATTTTTAAACCTTTGTCCCTCTAATTTAAGACCTCTTGTTGTGGTTGTTTTTCTTCTTTTAAATATAGTCTCCTCCTTTACTGTGTTGATTCCCTTTATGTATTTAAATGTTTCTATCATATCCCCCCGTCTCGTCTTTCCTCCAAGCTATACATGAGGCTACATGTTCAGCCTTCAGCATAGTATCGAGGGGTAGGCCAAATTACATTGATGCATTGGTCCAGCTTACTCCTATATACTGAAATAGAATATTCATCTTTGCGCATCGTAACAGTGCGACCTTTCGCCAGCCTCAGTTCAAATGCACATTACTTTGGGAATAAGAGAGGGTGGATTTACTTTGACTGTTATGTGTATTTTGTATGTAAACAACTGTATATTCACTCTTTGCATGCATGACTGAGGGTTAATCCTCTTGCTAACGCTGAATGCGCAGCCGCATAATAGCTACTAAGGCACCAGTGGGAGAAGCCTGCCTGTACTTATGTATACACAGTGCTACTAACAGTCTAGTTTTGACTTTTACCAAAGCCACTATTATCCCTTGAATTTTGAAAACATTTGATTCCTAGATGCACAGGAAGGGTAATGCAACTGTTGCCCAGAAACTGATTTTAACCAGTGCCCCCGACAGGAACTACGACTCAAATACCTACCCACTAGCCTCCCCTAATCTCACACTGCTCCAACAGCCCCAATTCCAATCACGGGAGACAAACAACACGGATTTCCAGGCAACCGCACACCTAACAAGCCACATACGACTGCAGGTCCCACGACACACAGCCTCAACGAAAAACACCCTATCTCAACCTTCATGACCCACCTGACAACTAGATGCCTACACAAGCAAGACAACCATCACCAACACAGACATCCACACACCACACTCCCCAGACGCAACACCCCATAGCGCAGACTAAGACAACACTCCAACAGCCCACGTCGACACATACCCGCGGTTATAAAGCCATGTGAGATCGCACCAACAGAGAAACACACAACCCCACTAGTACAATAATATTACTCACAAGAGATCACCAACGAAAAGTGCACACTAGCATTGCCTGGGGAGGAGGGCCCAACACACAGTTTGGTTTACTACCCCAGTAAGACACCAACACCACTACAAAACCTACCGCCACCAACAATGCAAGCTCACAACTAACTCCCTGGACATATCCCCACCAGTACAACTTGTCCAGGAATACTCTGCCCCCAAAGAGCCTGGCAAAGTCTACATAAGACCAGGCAGACTCAGAATTCTTTACACACACCCCACCCCCTTTTTTTTCTCTTCTTCCTCTCTCACTTCTTTCCCCTCTTCGCCCCCTTCTTTTCCTGCGCTACTCCCTTCTTTTTCCCTTCCCCTTCTCTCCCCCTCTTCCTCCCTCTCACACGACCTCCCCCACCCCACCCCCGGATCGCCCTAGCAACCTGGATCAATACCACATATGATGGCTCCGGCGACCATACAGGACCCGACTGCAACGCCCCCAATCAAAACCAGGGGGACCAAACCCAGCTCTCTCATTTGCGTCTCTACTAATTGCAAAGGCCTCAACCATCCTTCTAAGAGACACCAATTTGTACGCTGGGCCAGCAGGACCAAAGTGGACATACTTCTCCTCCAAGAAACCCACTTTACACAGGGTAAACCGCTCCCTCTCCTGAGCCGACACTACAACAAATACTACACGGCAAACTCCACAACAGGTAAAAGTTGCAGAGTTGCTATCATCCTTCGCAAATCGTGCCCTCTCCTAGTCAAACAAACACACTCTGATCCACAGGAAAGATATATCACGGTAACAGGACAAATAGGCCCACAAAGATATGCATTCATGTCCCTATCCGCACCAAACGACCCAACCATATCCTTTTGGAACACCATTCAGGCACATCTAAAGCTTTTCCCCTCACACCACCTGACAGTAGGCGGTGACTTTAATGCCACCCTACACCCAATGGAAGATAGGCACCGACAGGGCCCGGCGAAAAGCAACCTGCCCCCTACCGCCAAATCAGATAAACTCCTACTCTCATTCGTAACCACCTCCCGCCTACTAGATGTATGGAGAGCCCAACACCCCACAACCAGAGACTACACATTTTATTCACACCTCCACCTCTCACACTCCAGAATAGACATGTTCATGATCTCCCCCTCACTCATGAAATACATCAAATCATAGGCTCAATAACATGGTCAGACCACGCGGACATCACACTTACTATTGAGCTACCCAACATCGTACGACCATGGTCATGGCGCCTGAATCCAACACTCCAGAAGGAGCTCACTGAATACTTCAAAATAAACAAACCTTCAACCCAGTTTGAGGGGGTCCTCTGGGCGGCACACAAATCGGTCATCTGAAGCACACTCATTAACCTCGCTGCAACCCATAAAAAACAACAACTCCGTAAGCTAGAACAAACGCTGACACGACTGAGAACACTAGAACACCAATTCAAAAAATACCCCACCGCAGGCATACAAACACAAAACACGACATGTCAGGT